CTAGCACTTCCATTCGTTCTGATTCATTCCCTTCCACTCGTTGTTTTATTGCTGCTGCTCTCAAAGCAGTTACCATCCGCTCCTCACCAGCTACCACTGCCTCTCATGTTTCCACCTCTACCTCCGCTCGTTCATCTTCCACCACTTCCACTCGTTCTGCTTCACTCATTTCTTCTCCCCCTCCCCCTCCCCCTCCCGTTCGTTTTAACTGTGCAGGTGACCGTCTCGAGGCTGTCCGCGAAGTCATCCGCCGCCACCGCCGGGAGCACGCGCAACTGTGTGCTGACAGTTCGAGTGCTTCAAAAGCCGTTTCTTCCAGCCATGGATCTGACAATGGCAGTGCCCGTGCTCGCACCTCCTGTCGACGAAACGTTAAGCCGGCTAAATCAGTCCAGTTCGGAGGCGTCACGGTCCACGAAGTCAATACATGGATTAAGCCGGGTGTACATACCCAGCGAGACCCCACGACAATCGTCGGCAAATTGGTTGGCTGGTCTGTCACTCCCCTGGAGGAACCGGAGGACGACGAAGACTGTAAGTATACGACTTACTGGGGTGGACAAGTAAGTCAACTTACGCACGCTCATTTACCCGGAAAACCCTGCGGACGCTCTTTTTGCTCCTGGAACGACCTCGCCAACGTTCGGAGAGACCTTTGTAGGGTCGCTCGTCTGGAACCCGACAATCCTTACACGTCGATCCGGACTCGCCTTGTTTTCGAAGAGTTCAACAGAAGAAGAGAAAATATGAGAGGGCACGGACATTTCCTTCTGTGATTTGAAGTGCCCTTCTCACCAAAAAAATTTTAAAAACGAAAAATCATCCTAAAGTATCTCGGACGACAAGTCCACTTCCGTTTTCGCACATTCTTTTAGTGATCACACTTGATATACATGTTCTGCTGTGTTCTGGCCTGTTTTGCGTTTTCAGTTTCGCTCTATTCGTCCTTCCTGTTTCGTTTGCTTTTTTTCTTTTTTTTTTTTTTTTTTCACTTCCCTTTGCTTCCCCCTACCTCTCCCCGTCATCTTTACTAACACGGTTTCCTAGGCGGGCGGGTTGGTGGAAGCCTAACGGTAGGTCGCTTTTGGAACTGCTGACTGGACAGGATAGTTAACGTACACGAATGGTGGCTACCGCTTGTGCACATTTTGGTATATCCTATCAACCCTATCGACTTCGGAATCTTCTGCTAACTTTCTCATCTGCAGGTCAGGTATACCGCGCCTCGATTGGCAGGATTTGTGGTAGCGCAGGATTTACCGCGACAACGTAAACCCACCCAAGCCCTTGCCCATAAATTTTCAGGAGCATCCTAACGGCTTTGTTCCAACGTGTTTATAGGTTAGGGTCGTTTTCTGTTCCCCCGCCGGTCGCCTCGAAAGATATCTGAATGGTGGCACCAGAGCTGCCGTATTCAGGTAAGTCGGCGCTCACTGTTCTCTTCTCCCTCTGTCTCTGCCATCATTGATTGCAAAGGCTGAACGTTAGTCACAGCTGTAGTGATAGATCTTCTTGAAACAGGTTTGCTTTCCCCGACCTATTGCCCACTTACTTTTGGGGTTTCTCTTAGGTAAAATATTCGGTAAGCATATATTATCCTTCCACCGGATTTTTAACGATTATTAACATGCTTGCAGACTCGATCCGCCTTTCAATCCACGCCGGATTGCATGCTTCTAGAGCTTATGGTGGCAACGTATCGGTCCCCGCAAGGTCAGAATTCCCCAACACAACTCGTAGTTTGGGCATGGAACTTATCATAACCAAAGGCGGCATGCAGAAATATACGCTTCGGAGCGTCAAGGGATATGGAAGATCATGGGATTATACGCTCCGGAGCGCAGTGGTGGCCCAGGAAAGCCCTTCGAACGGTCAGTCTTGTATAACCTGTTATGCTACAACGTCATCCTAACCATGTCTGTTGTAAAGGAATGGTAGACGACCAACGGGATTATACGCTTTGGAGCGTCGTGGTGGCTAAGGAGAGCCCCTTGAAAGGTCAGTCCTCTAGAATCCACTTTGTCACAATGCCATCCTAACCCCACCTGTTGTAAAGAAGCGAGATCAACGGGCATATACACCTCGGGGCGTCGTGGTGGGTAAAGGAAGTCATTCGAGCGGTAAGTCTCCTATAACCCCTTTGTGCCTAACTACGCCTTTCGCAGATACCGAACCGACCAAATTACGCTTCGGAGCGTCGCGGGCTACGGAGGAGAAGGGGCTATACGCTTCGGAGCGTAGTAGTGGCGAATGAAAGCCCTTCGAACGGTCAGTCTTCTAACCCTTCTAACCCATCATACCACCATCGTCCTAATCATGCCTCCTATAAATAATCGACTGAATTGCGCTTTGGAGCATCGCGGGCTACGGAGGAGAAGGGGCTATACGCTTCGGAGCGTAGTGGTGGCGAATGAAAGCCCTTCGAACGGTCAGTCTTCTAACCCGTCTAACCCATCATACCACCATCGTCCTAATCATGCCTCCTATAAAGAATCGACCGAATTGCGCTTTGGAGCGTCGCGGGCTACGGAGGATAAGGGACTATACACTTCGGAGCGTAGTGGTGGCGGATGAAAGCCCTTCGAACGGTCAGTCTTTTATGACATCCATGCCACAATCCCATTCTAACAACAATCCTCGCAGATATCGAACCGACCGAACTATACGCTTTGGAGCGTTGCGGGCTACAGAGGATAAGGGGTTATACGCTTCGGAGCGTAGTGGTGGCGGATGAAAGCCCTTCGAACGGTCAGTCTGCTGACCCCATCATACCGCAAAGTCATACTAACCATGCCTCCTATAAAGAATCGACCGAATTGCGCTTTGGAGCGTCGCGGGCTACGGAGGATAAGGGGCTATATGCTTCGGAGCGTAGTGGTGGCGGATGAAAGCCCTTCGAACGGTCAGTCCTTTATGACATCCATGTCACAATCCCATTCTAACAACAATCCTCGCAGATATCGAACTGACTGAACTATACGCTTTGGAGCGTTGCGGGCTACGGAGGATAAGAGGTTATACGCTTCGGAGCGTAGTGGTGGCGGATGAAAGCCCTTCGAACGGTCAGTCTGCTGACCCCATCATACCGCAAAGTCATACTAACCATGCCTCATAAAGAATCGAGCCGACCGGGTATACGCGTTGGAGCGTCGTGGTGACTACAAATCAATGGGGTTTGGCGCTTCGGAGCGTCGTGGTGGCTAAGGAAAACTCACAAACTGGTAGGTCCGGCCTTTTCACTGATATCTCAATGTTCATCCTAACCAATGTCTCCTATCAAGAATCGAACCGAACCGATCGAATATACGCCTCGGAGCGTCATGATGGCTATATATAGCCAGGAACACGGTGAGTATTCCCTGCTATCGAAGTAGTAATCGCGATCTAATCAGCTTTCGTAGGTTCATATGACTACAGGGGGTCTACCCGGGCGGTGGGTGGGAGGAGTAGACCAGTTTCGGCCAACTTTTCATTTTCTTTCCGTTTTTTGTATGCTTTTTGTATTCGGCTGCCATTAAGGCCGTTGTTTAGTGGTCGTTTCATTCTTTTATTATTATTACCTTGTAGCTTACCGAAATCGCAAATATGCTGTGTTCCTCTCCGTCAACCATCCTTTGTAGTTTCAAGCCCCGGTTGGTGCATTTGAATGGGATATGTGTTAGAATCCATGTCATGCCCCCATCAACAATTGAACACCAATAGGATGGGCTTTTAATTGTACGAGGGAAAACCTCCGCGCGTGAAAAATAGCTGTTTTAATACGCGGAATGAGAATAATGTTGGATGTCTGAGTGGTTATAGGAGGTTATCATACTCTGTAACTAGTGACTTTCTAAGGTTCTGTGAGGTTGGTCAATAGGAAGGACAGGGCATTCCAATTGCAGGTGGGGGTAACTTTGGAACCCGGACACCAGAGCAGCGGGGTGGGGTGTTAGGATAAAGGGTGGAGGAGTTGAGACATTGATATGTATTATTTGAGAGACTAATAATAGAAGTAACTATGCAACTATTAGTGGTGGTGTTTGAAAAGCTGTAATCCTGCGTAGGTGTAGTTAACAGATTTGGAGCTCACCAGGCGCAGTTAACTAGTTAGTTAAGTTACCCTAACTAGTTATGGGAAAAGAACTCGGTGCCTAGCCTATCTACACGCCAAGCCCCCAAAGGCAATAAGCGGGCGCTAGAAAGTTTCTTATATACGGAATAAAACTATGATGATATACTACAATAGACGATTTCACTTATTATGTTACGGAGAAGCCTATAATCGTCTGTTTGTCATTCAAGATAACCTCCCCCAAAATGCACCTACTAGCACCATGTATCTAGAAGATAAAAACTTTCCTCAAAAGCTTAGGTAGACAAGGGGGGAAGAAAACAGATTAAATCGGGCAGAATAACAATAATGGAAGAAGAAAAGAGGAAACATGATAACAGCTTCTATGATAAACCCTTAGATCTATTGCCCATGGATCTCCCGCGGGTAGTCGCCCCAAGGTGAGGCTGGTGAGGACAGTGAGGACAGCGAGGACACATCACCAGGGTTGGAGAAGTCCTCAATCACGGCGTTGCTGATATACGGCTCCGGACTCTGGATTTGGAACCCGGGTGGATAAACAACCTTAGAATTTGGCTTTCGCTTGAAACATTTGCTGCCGCCTCGTTGATAGTCGAGGCCGACATACGCGTCAATTGCCTTCAGCCCGTTGGCGAGACAAGCTGGGTCATGTCCCCGCTGGATGAGTGTCTTGCCACTCTTATCATAAAGATATAGCACACCAATCTCAGCGAAAAGCTCGATATCTGCAGATTTGGAGTAGTGTGTTGGCCAACAAGAATCCTTTGCTTTGGCAGTTCGGAAGGTCTCGCTCGCATAGAATCCTCGGTCAATGCAGTGGCTAGCCTCATGCATATATACACTATCTTGCGCTTCGCCGAAGATCATGACCATATTCCAGGGGAGAACAGCGGCACCACCAACAGAGCTATGTTCGAAGGCAATAAGGTGAATCATGTGGCTCCGCAATCCTGGTGGCAGCTGGCCAACTCGCCTGATCACATCATCCAATGACTGCTGTGCATCAGAACAATGACAGATTACCCAGGGGTCTTGGTCCGGGCAGTCTTCGTAGGTGACATTAAAGACATTAAGACGCCTAGGTTCGCACCGGGGCCTCAGGTCATCATTTGACCTCTGTGCCCGAGCCTCATTCCAGCAAAATTCGGGATAGCCCTTGAACTTTGGCCAATACACAACTTCTGCAGGCCTAGAGCCTGGCACGGGATCCGTGTTGAGTACTTCTATTCCGGCTGAAAACAGAACACTTCTAATACATTTATTAACCATCACAATTTTTCTAATGGGGGATGGGAAAGGGGCCGGGGAGGACATGAGCTCTCTTTACCTGTACTTCACGAGTTCGGGCGCTTTCTTGTCCGGGCACTGGCCTGGTGCATCCCACCTCTGATCCAGAATTGCTCCAAGGACTTTGAGTTGATTGCTCATGCAGCTTGCATCAAATGGGGGAGTGCCTTTGACAAGCTTCAAATATGCCGCGACTGCAAACCCTTTCTCTACTGCATCTCCCAATGACCCATCCCGCTTCAAGGACTCCGCAGCACGTGTATCAGCCACGCAGGTATCGGCATTAACAGCGTTCAAAAAGGTTTCATAGGGAACCCCAGGCCCACCAACCCATAGTGCTGCCAACGCTGCTTTGAGGCCATCAGCTGGGCGAAAATATCCTCCCAACATCACGGAATGCTTGTTATGCCACCTGAAGCTCAGGCCTCGTTCGATATTTGCATTGAGAAGGTCAGAGATCACACCGCGGGCACTTGATGGGAGGCGGCCAAGTAAGTCAAAGGTAGCTTCTCTGCTAATCTCTGCCTTGGCGCAGTGGCCAATAACCCAGGGCTCAGGACACTAAGGTGCAAACTCGGGTTAGGCAACTGAGGGTACGTGAACTGATGAGGGCCACACATGTAGGAGAGAATTGAAGGGGTTCGCACATCGGCATAAGTGACATTGTAAACGGAGAAGTCAGCTCTACAGTAGTGTCGACTCTCCTTCTCGTAATAACTCGCAGTCCAGGTACTATCTGGCGGAAGCCCTTGTTCAACTGTAAAAGTAGAGATGGTTAACGTATAGCTCACCAACGCTACATTACTAAGATCTGCTTGACGGAGGCCGGGGATGGTTTACTCTCATATGTGGTCCATTTCTTATAAGTATACTTCTGCGGAGCGGGTAGGCTAGCGTCGAAGGTGGAATCAAAATCGAGGACATTTTTAACAAGTGGATCTTTGATGATCTGGGCACTTGCAAGCCCAAGCAACATCAACGGGCATAGTAAAGAGAGGACGACCATCTTGCCCTGCTAGGCAAAAGGAGACGGCAAGCACTTGCCTTTGACGGATAACAATGTCCAAAAGTAAAGGATAGAGTGTGTAAGGAATGGCAGAAAAGTTGGATTCAGAGCGGGCCCAGCTGGGTATATATGCATTTTCCATACATGCTGAGATTGCACGAAGCAGTGCAGGGTAGGATGCCCACCCCATTTTGCATTACGACCGTTGAGATGTCCATCGAATCCTCCGTAAGTTTAGAATCTCAAAGTCGCCGCAACGGCCAACACCAGCAGGCAGCATGGCGGTCTAGTAGAAGGTGTAGTGAGAGCTTCCGAACTTGAGTAGCTAGGATTCTAGCAGTGCGACACTGTCAGAATATGAGGTTGGGGACCCGGTGTTCCTCAAGGATTGCTGCTTTCTTGTTTAGTAGCCCAATGGGGCGTTCCCTCATCACTTGCTGACGGGGCAAGTTGAGAATAATTATGGCTGCATCAATATGTCTTGTATCCCCATATAGTCACAAGAACGTCAGCGCCTTGTGGCCTGCGTGGAGTCATCTGGACAAGCGAAGGAGTGCCTTGAAACACCCATCCTTGCTCCAACTTCGCGTATTCGCTAGGCTGTATTATTATTGAGGGATCAAGAGCGATAACCTAAATATCTCGGAGCCTTTTGAACAATTGACAGGCGCAGCGGACCCTGCGGAGAGTTCATTCATTGTTCCTGGTGAGATCCATCAGATTCAGCAGAATGTTTGAACCGCACGGGATCCGATTTCGAAATTCAAACAGGGATCTACCGCGAGTTTATAGCAGGGTCTCAATTCCGAGCCTGCCGAGATCAACAGTCTTGAGAAACCGAAAATATCCAAAGTGCAAGTGTCTGGATCATTATTTGCAGCAGGAGAATGCACGAGTTCCATGGAGAAAACAGCGGCCGTTACCAGAATTTCCCGCTAACGTTAACTACCAAGGAACGTGGCGTTTTAAGTTAAATTTGAAGCCTGAGTTCTGCCGGAGTAAGGAGTACAGGGGTCCATAGTGCCGCAGCGGGAGCGTCCGGTTCTTCCGTTGCTTATTATTATATATTATTCTTGAAGGCGTTGATGGATGAGAAAGAGCATGGAGGCCGAAGCTAGATTCTGTAGCAGTTGGGCCCGAGATAGTCTCGGCAATAATACGAGGACTTTCGATTGATGCCCTGCATAGGGCTAGTGATTAACTACGCTGCGTAGACGTCTCAAACCCGAAGATTCCTGAGAAGGCCTGGTCTTTTTATGAAAATCCTCCATCCATTGCTCTGATAGCTATGAAACCAGACAACGCAGCGGGATACGACATTATTGGAGCTGGCTGGCAGATAACTTATTCCCCTGACGGGTAACTTATCGTTGTCAATTGACAGCACACCGTCCTCAAAGGCGATATCCGACCAAGTTCAACAGCTTCAAAAGACCGAGTATCCTTCAGCATCGGGCTGGGGTCATTGTTCAGCGGCCTGTTGATGGACAGAACCAGGAACGCTTGCCGAAATTACATGGCGGGTCTCAAAATCCAGGGTTTTATTAGCTCCATCCAACCTTGTCTTATCCCAAGTTAATATCCAGCAAAGAATACCCTGTCGCAACTGGGTGGCCCCTGTCAGGTTCATACGCAGTAGGCTTCGAAATCACTCCGTCTTTGATCCTATGTACGCAGTATGAACCATGGTGTTGTCTTCCCTCGGATTGCCAAGGATAGCCCTCGCCATCTCGTCTACTCCGTAGACAGCTGTGACTGGCTACCATCAGATAGTGAATGCGATGGTTTGGATGGGATATTCCATTCCAAAGCCTGCCAGACGAATGTTCGAGTCTTCAAGACCCAAAAATCACGAAGCATGGAGTCAGTGGCTGCCTGCTGAAGAATATCGTCAGCTCCGTCCCGGATGCCAACTGCCTCACTCTCAGGCTCGTGCATGAACTGACTGCCCTTCGAACCCTTGTTGGACCTGCTTTCATAGCTTCGTTGGTCATCCCTAGTATGACGCGAAGCTCCTGGCGCGCTGGTCAAGGGGTCCGTGGTTGCAACATCATGAACACCACCTCACGGACACCGCCCATGTCGCAACGGTCCTCGCGGATGCATCTCTTGCTGTTTATTCGTACTATGTTTCTTATCGTCACTGTACTGCTGTTATTTCTGTTCGAATACTTCTCCAGCCTGCCCAGTTTCTTAGTAGTCTATGAAATGGTTATAACAGGTTGGAACTTGATCATTAGCCTATAAAATCCTAACGGAATGCCTGAGAATCCTTGCAGAAGGTAGGGTACCCTCTTCCCATCCATCCTCCACAAGTTCAGCCGCGCTATTACCCCATCAAACAAGGCAGAGAAATGTGTCCGTGTCGGAGGATTACATTGTGTCTCTCGACCTGCTAGAAGGAACATACTGTGTAGCTGCTCCCCGGCACTAGTTCCTTCGGTGCTCCTCAGAACCAAAAATGGCTGTTATATCAACACGATTCAGCTGTTCGTGGTCCGCGTTCCGTGTTCGGGAGCTGTCAAGTCCCGTATCTCGCTCAGGATTTGGGTTTGGGTTATATTTCCTCCGTGAGAAGAGGTATCCGTTCTAAAATTTGTCCTGAGAAGCTGCAAAAGCCATATCTGTCGAGAAATCCGCTGATTTCGAGGAGATCGTGGTACGCTCCTTGAGAGGCACGCCTGCGAATGATGCTCGGAATATTCTGTTCCAATGCCTGCTTTTCAAAGTGTTGACAACATTCGGCGACTAACATGATTAGTTTTCTCTCTTCTCATGGAGAAAGTAGAGAAACAGACTTTCGTGGGAGCAAACTATATCAATGTAATTACCGTGCTTTTCTTCTAGCTTCTGCATCTATAGAAACGCGCACATACTACGGACATTTCAATATCCGCGGAATATTCGCCCCTACGTCATCTCCCCCAGTATATTACCTCTCGCATCGGGTGTATGATTGGAACAGCGGCAAATTAAAGGGCGATGCTCGGTCATATTGCACGACTGCGATCCTCAATACGAGCACGAAAAGAGAGTTGAATGGAGTACCTGCTCCATACCAAATGGACTCCAGGCGAGTTTGGGCAGTGCAGTGCGGATATGAGTGAAGTACTCGCGCCAGACATGTTGTTTCTATCATTTTTTATAATCTCCACATTTTTCCTTCGCTTTCTTCTCTTTTCTCTTCTCTCTCTACGACGGATGTGAGTGCATGATCGCCATCCCATTTCCACATAATCCTATCAGTCGTTCATTCCCAGCACAGGTATCGGTTGCGGGACCAATCGAGATAAGAAACCAAGAGCACTGCTTTGGTTTATTTTGCTCTGCTCTGCTCCACAGCTTTGTAATGTTCCAGATCATTAAAGAGAGCACCCGGTGTTGTGCGGACAGTAGAATGTGGTTTAACATCTTAGCAGCAAGCACACTCCAAATAATTCAATCAAGGACAATTAGATTTTAGTCTATGACTCCCTCTATTTCTATATGTCCCAGATAGATAGGTTCCCACCCACGATGTGTTGCCTAGGTAAATCCAAGTCAGTTTTTCCAAGCTCATGAATGACCCAGCTTTCCAAGAAAACCCAATGAGCAGGATATGGAGCCTTTTGGCCTGATATAGTGCGTACGTACTGCTAAGGAACTAAATAGAAATTTCAGATTAATAAACCGTCTATGTGTTCGTTCTTAAAAGAAGAAATAAATTTCCCAAATTTCATCTCCACATCTCATCTCGTCCTCGAATTAGAAATACTCAAGACCAATATATCCGTTGCGCCAACAGCGGTCAACTTATCCATGACCGTGGCGATGGACTTCTTCTCTACCATGGAGCTTACCGCAACCCACCCAGCGCCTTCGATGGGGGTTATTGTTGGTGCGCGGTTGCCAGGGGTGATCTCGCATGCCGCCTGTAAGAGGGGGCGCGGGACGTTGTACTGGCAAAGGACGTATTTTTTGGCGGCTAGGGGGAGAGAAGGCATCTAGTCAGAATTCATTTCGTCCCAAAATATTTGATAGTACAAATAGGGAAGTTAGGGGGATAGATGTTGGGAATACTCACTGATGACACCACGTATTCTGGATTCGATGAGACTAACAAGTTCGTGATTTGTGTTTCGGGATTTGACGAGGACGGCGGTGCTGTCGACGACTGTGCCGATGGGCCTTAGCCCTGCGGCTTTCATGGTTTCACCCGATTCTAGGGGAAGGAGGAGTTAGGGTATTTAACCTCGAGGAGTTTGAAAGGGTGCAACCTGAGCGCAATCAGGGGGGGGGGGGGAGGGAGAGAAGAAAAGAAAGAAATAAGAAGATGGTAACACACCAACTAAATCCACAATCCCATCCGCAACACCCAGGGCACATGCAGCTTCTACACTCCCACCAACGTATTTAACCTTCGTAGTCGGCGTCTCCTTGCCCTCCAACTTTGTAAAATACGCCTGCGTCAGGCCCGTAAAGCTCGTGACGACATTCTTCCCAACCAATTCCTTTGGATCCGTTATGGATCCCTTCTCGGGGACCTGGACTTGCAATTTGCACCCGCCGAATCCCAGATCGAGCATCTCTTCTAAACCGGATACCTTACCTGGCAGGAGATTGGCGTCATGTTCAGCTACTTGGTCACGACCGGTGATGCCCAGATCGACACCGCCCTCGCCGACGAAGGTGGGAATATCAGCTGCGGGGAGGAAAATGAGGGCAATTGGGAGGTTTTTCACTAGGGCGATGTCAAGGCGGGTTTCGCGGCGGAATTGGATGTCAGAGCCCACAAGGAGGTCAATGGCGGCTTGCTGGAGACGACCCTCTGTTGTGGATTGTTAGAAGTGTCTATTTCGTTGTAATTGAAGGGGGTCCCAGATATGATGTTGTTGGGGAGGGAGTGATTGACTTGCTTTTGGGGATCGCGAATCGTAACCGGCCTTCTAGACTTGCATTTATTTAGTAAACTCCCATATAGAAGAAGCAGACATAGACAATGCGCTTACTGATTGACAAGATCCATGTTGCTGGAGGAGGAAGATATGCGGAAAAAGTGCGGGTGTTAAACTGAGGGGGTGGTTTTTCCCTCGTTTGAGGGAGGAGAAGGATTACTGTACGCTAGTATAGTTATAACTACTCCGTGGAGCCCGCAAAATATCAATAATGCAGAAGTTATCTCAGAAGCTCAGCCACTGCCCAGGATATTGCTGTTTAACAGTGAATCAATGATTAGTCACTCTTTGAAGCTAACTCAATAGATCAGATCTCATGATTTTTACAATTATTCCATGCAGTATGCCAGTATCATACTATTCAGTATCTAAGAAGAAACAGTTTTTATTTATTAGTAACACAGAAACAATTTACTTCATTCTATTTATAAGTGAGAATAATAAATTAACTTTATCTATTCATTCTATATTATTTTAGAGTCTAGAATAATTAATATTCTCATGAGTTGAAATAATATTAATTGTTTTTTTCAACTTTTTTTTTTTTTTTTTTTTTTTGTGATTTTGATTAAAGTATCAGATTTTAAAGTTAATTCATATAAATATAAAGAATATTTTAATATTTTAATAATTTCAAGTTAGAAAAGCAATTATTTTTAATAAAATATATATGTATTAAATATTAATTTTTTTTAAGATAAAAATTATATATTTCTATTTTCAATTCTCCAGCTAAATATAAACAGAATTTGAATTCTCAAACTTCTGTTAAGATTAGAGAATTGAGAAATGACTCTGATAATAAACTAGATATAATGTAAGCAGTTGAGATTTCTACTTTTCAGAATAGTTATAATCTACTATCTGATGATAGTGATTAGATACTACTCTACTCTCTTTTAGTATGAATATATAATAAAAACAATAAAAAAAGTTTAAAAACTCTTCAAAAATCACATTTATTTAAAATAATGTGAATAGAAACTCAAATTGCATTTATTCTTATCTTCAAATTGTATTTGAATAAAAAGTTAATTTTATACTGCTTCAGAAGCTGAATTTTAATACTGAGTAAAAATATGTCATTTCTCATTCAAGCTACTACTGCTTTATATCTCAAAAGTCTGAGATAAAGTTAAGAGTAGTGATCTATGAAAGAAAGAGATTAAGATATTAATTTAATCTAAGATTTAATATCATGTCTGACTCTGATATTCTGATGAATAATATTATAGATAAAGAGAATGAGTTTGATACTATACAGCTTATAAATATCTATAATGAAAAATCATTGAAGAAAAATAATAACATCTGAATAATTAATAGAGAGTTTCTGAACATAACTTTATCAAGAAACTCTATAATTGTAGAAGATTTCAATGCACATCATCTCTGATAAAATTCAGAATGTAAAAGAGCAGTAAGAGCTGATAATCTGATTAAATGAATCTTTGAGTATTTAATAGATTTAGTTAACAAGTCTGATTAATAAACATTCTTTAAAAAAGATATGAAACAGAAATCTATTATAGATCTAATCTTTATATCATAAAATCTAATGAAAAGAAGACTTGTAAACTGATTTATTAATTCAAATGAGACATCAGAATCAGATCATGAGATTATTCAATTTAATATTAAACTGAGTAAAGAATAAATGAGTGAAAATCCTCTTCTTTTTAATCAGTTTAACTTTGAAAAAGCTGACTGAAAGATAGTTGAAGAAAGTATAAAACTGTTAAAATCTGAAAGACAGAGTGAGCTATATTGAAATTCTGATCAAGATATCTCAAATGAAATGCTTAAGAATAGAGTGAAGCTCATTACATCTATTATTCTAGTAAGTATTAAAGATAATATTTCAAAGAGAAAGTCTTCTGAGTATTCAAAATTTTAATGAAATGAGAATATTATATCTAAAAGAAAACAATTAACTACTGTTAGAAGAGATTGAAAGAATGATATAATTTCTGATAAAGAGTTCAAAGCAGTCAGAAATGAATATTTTTCAGATATTAAAAGAGCTAAAATAGACTGCTAAAATAAATTTCTTAAAGAAGTATAAGAAAAGAAAGTTTTTAAAGCTTTTAACTATATTAAAACAAGAAGTATAGTAAAACTTTCAATCTTAGAATATAAGTTTCAGAATAAATTATATACAGCAAACTCTTTTAAGAAAAAATATTAAGCTTTTATAAGAACTCTCTTTCAAAACTCATCAGATTCAGATTCAGAGAAAGAGAATATATCACTTCTTAAATATATTAATAAAAATGACTGAGAATGATCTGATCTTACTTAAGATAAATTAGAGTTAGCTATCTTCTCAAGTTCAGTTAAAACTGCTGCAGGACCTGATTCAATTAATCACTTAATTATTTAAAATATATACTTCTACTTAAAGAATGAATATTTTAAGCTCTTTTTCAATCTCTTGAAAAATGAATATTATTCTGAATGCTGAAGAGAAGTCACTGAAGTAATTCTTATAAAATTTAATAGAAAAACTTCAATTTCTAAGTTATATAGAGTAATATCTCTATTGAACTATTTAGAAAAGATTTTAGAAAAGATAATAGCTACTTAACTATCTTTTATAAGCTCTATCAGTAATTCTCTTTTATTCAGTGAATAAATAAGAGATAGAAAACAGTGTTCTATAATTAATACTGTTCTCTCAGTTATTTATAATATTTAAATAGCAAAGTATGAAGATCTGGTCTCAACTGCAGTTTTTATTAATATAAAAGAAGTATTTAATCATATTTCAAAGTCAAAGTTAATTCAGATATTAAAGATGTTAAAACTATCACTTTCTCTAATAAAATGAGTTAACTGTTTTATATTTAAAAGAATTATACAACTTTTCTTTGATAAAATGAAATAAGACAAGACTGAGATAAAAATAGAAGTACTGCAAGAATCTTCAATCTTACTTATTTTATTTATAATATACACTGTATATCTATTCAAAAATAGAAATATGAGAATAGTGTGATTTCTGAGTTATATAAATGATATTAATCTAATCTACAGCTTAAAAACTATTAAAAAGAATTTAAAAGTGATTGAAGAAGTTGTAAAGAAAATCTTTATTAAAACAGATATCAATTAAATTTAATTTAATATGAATAAAACTGAGTTAATTCATTTCTTTTCTAAATTCAATGAGAAAGAACTATCTCTAACTCTTTTAAATAGAGAGATTAAACTCAGTGTAAATGTCAAATAATTAGAAGTATAATTAAACTTCAAGTTGAATTTTAAATATCACATTTAACAAAGAATTGTTAAGATAGAAAGACTATTGAATAATATAATCAGACTATTAAATACAGAGAGAGGTCTATTCTTCCAGACTATGAGACAGTTATATATAGTCTGTATTACATCAGTAGCTGATTATGAAGTTCAAGTTTAATGAAATAATCAAGAGAATTTCACTGAACTCTTTCAAAGTCTGTAAAACAAAGTCTTGAGAAGAATTCTGAGAGTATTTAAATCATCTTCTATTAAAGCAATGAAAATTGAAGCTTCAATTCCTTCTTCTACTATTAGATTTGAAAAGATCTGTATAAACTATACTCTGAGAGTTATAAAGATAAGCTTAAATTATATAATCAGAGAAAGAGTCTCTTCTTCATTTTCATTAATTAACTCTGAAAATGAACTGAATTAAAATAGATTTCTTGATTAGAATGAAAATAATTCTTCAAAGAAAATATCTTCTCAACTGTACAGACTATACTCTCTGATTAAAAATTAATTTTCTTCTTTAAATATTGAAAAAGTTGATCATGAGAAGTTATCTCTCTGAAGAGAAAAGCTTGAGTCTCTTATAAACTTATAAATAAGTGAACTATTTAAAGAGAAAGAATATAAACAGCATTTAAAGAGAATTTCTATAATTAATATAAAAGACTCTATTCTGATTTATTCAGATGACTTAAAAAATGAGAATTTGAATAGATTAGATACAGACATTACTTATTCTAAAGATAATATTAATTTTATCTCAGATTTCTGAAATTTAGACTGTGAATCTGAAGTCTTTAATACTGAACTATTTATAATAGTAAAAGCTTTCAAACTTATTGAAATAAAATCTTATAAAAGAGAAAATAGTTTGAAAGAGATATAAATATTCTCTGATAGTTAAGCTGCTTTAAAAAGACTTAGAAATAGTCAGATTTATAATAATTAAATAAATCTTGAACTGATCTTAAACTCTGTTTTAAAAATTTAAAAGAGAAGAATATCAAAGCTAATAATTCATCTACACTGAGTTTCTGTTTATATGAATATTCATGATAATGAATTGGCTGATTCAGCTGTAAAAAAGAGTGCAGAATTAAGTAGATCTATTTAAAAAATTATATTCTAATCTTTTATAAAGAGAAAAATAAAAGAATCTTATTTAGATAAGTGAAATGAAAGCTAACAGAAATAAAAGAAGAGTATACATTATTCAAGATTTAAAATAAAACTCAAGTGAAAATCTTATTTAATTAAATATAAAAAGAAAATATTCTCATCTATAATACAGCTGAAACTAGAACATAGCTATTTCAAATCTTATATACAAAGATTTGATAATAGATTTGACTTAATAGAATACTCATTCTGCAATGTAAATAAGAATTCTGAGTATATTATAATACACTGTGTATTATATAATAGTCTCAGAGTCAGATTGAAAGAGAAGTATAATCTAAATTAATTAAATATAAGATTCTTATTCTCTACTGAGACAGGAATTAAATACTTAATAGACTTTCTATCAGAAACTCAAGCAGCTATAAGAAAATGACTAAATTCAGAAATATTTGAATATAAAGAGAAGAAAATTAATCAGATATAGTCTGTTAAAACAGCTATATACTATTTTTTAATAATTTATTTTATTACAGTCTCTTTTTACTTTATCTTTTTCTTTCAATTTCTTTCTATCTATCTATTTAATATATCTATCTTTAAGACTGTGTTCTCTTTTCCTTTGTCATGATATTATCAAATGATTTCAAAGTACTAGAAGATGTTAAAACACTGTAATTTATAAACAGTTTTTGTATTCTGAGCTGGAATTTTCTGATTTTATATATCTGAAATTGATGAATATATAATAGTTAACTTTACAGATATAGAAAAAACTCTGAGAACTAAAAGTTCTCAGATAGATGTTATAGTCTCTGACTGTATACATTTATAATTGAAGAATAATAATAATAATAATAATATATATTTCTATTCTTTTTCTCTTTAACTACAATCTAAGATTATTCATAAATCTCAAAAATTTATGAGAATTGAATAATTTGAAACACATGACTTTGACAAAAGTAGTCTAGTGCCTGTGCTACAATAACAAAGTGAAACAGAGAAAGCTCACTGAGATAATACAACAGTGAAAATAGAAAAAAATGCTTAATTGATGAAATTGATCAATATATAGAATAAAATAAAATAGAGTGTATATATGAGCTCAATTCAGAACAGATGTTGAGTTCTAACTTTCCTGTCAGAAAGAGATGTACTGTAACTATTTTCACTTAGTAGAGAGATTCTGCAGTGCTAAGTCGCATGAAATATTTAGTACGCACGGCCTTCCTATATAGGCATAGATGCCACGATTCGGCGCTGCTGTGGCATAGGCCTTGTAAATATTGTATTCATCTAATTGAAAACCTCTTGTATGCCGGGTAACTAATGAATATAATAATAATCTGCAGCTGCCACTGCCACTGCTGCCGCCACTGCCGCTGCCGCCGCTTGTACAGTTATTTTGAACTCTGAAATAATAAAAAGTGAGGTCTTTCATATTGATATCAGCCGCCCGTTCCATACACCCATTTTGATTTCAATCTTGAAAATATAAGGGCTTGATGGCAATAATGGTGATGGTATGGTATGGCAATTGTGAATGCAAATCAGAGGGGATAGATAACATGAATAGAGAAAGGCCTATGCATAGGTGGAGTTGATGATCAATCTGCCTTACAACAATATGAGATATGAGGCTAACTTGTTGATAACTGAATAAGGAAGGCTGTACAGCACTAATTACATGCGCATACTATGTATGAATTCATGTGAAAACATCACATGTACAGATTCATCTGTGTGATAGTGATGTTAATTAAAAACACCACTGAATGTTAATTTACATGACATTAAACCATATAAGGAAGGCTATTACTGTGAAAGATGCTTGTAGAATCCCTCTAGTAACTGTATTGATTGAGTCATTGATTTGCTAAGTTACCAGTCTACTCTATCACTAGAATCATGTGAGCTTGCAACACTAGATAAAACTATCTACAAAATTAGTTCTACAGTGAGAAAGAAAACATTTACTCACATATCTTGTGTGACTCTGTCTATTCATATTATATTATTATACATGGAGTAACTACTTCACATCCAATTATCTATGATGTCTCTGAGCGTTGGCTGCGATTCCAAAAACAGCAATTAGGGCTTATATGGCACTAGTCCGCCTTTAGTCTAGCCCCTAGCATCCCGTGTAAACCTTCCGTATTGGCGGGATTCCCTTCGCCTCGGCAAAAACTGCTTCCCACACAACCAAAATCACTTCCCGCCTATCTCAAACCACGAACAGACACTTTTCGCATCCTCCCCTCTCTCCCCTGCCGCTGGACTACCTCCCCACCGTCGTCTACCCTCAAGCAGCAGCAGTTACTCGCACGCATATCTCACCGCCCATCATGGATGCTACCGGAAAAGTCCCCATCAAGTTCGCTAAGGTGACCCGCGTTCTCGGCCGCACCGGTATGTTATCATGGCTTTCTTTTGGTTTTTGAAACAGCCGAAAATTTCTCTCCCGCATATATGGCAGCGATCTTTTGATTTTTCCTGGGATATTGTGATTGGGACCGGAATGTGAATGGGAGACATCAAAATTGGAGAAAGTTGAAGATTGGTGGAAAATATGCGGAGAAAGAGCAAATGAAGCAGGAAAAATTCCAACTAGGCCAAAGGAAAATTTATCTGACAACGTGGCTATTTCTCGAATTCTAGGTTCGCGAGGTGGTGTCACTCAGGTCCGCGTCGAGTTCATGGACGACACATCCCGATCCATCATCCGAAACGTCAAGGGCCCAGGTACGAAAGAACCCCCATGCCCCGACGAAAGCAAAGAATTGGATGGTAATGGTAAACTAACATTCACTCTTGTCAAAAATTAATAGTCAAGGTCGATGATATCCTCTGCCTACTCGAGTCTGAGAGAGAAGCCCGCAGACTGAGATAAAAGCAGCTTTTTTTCAATCCAAAAATATAAATATAAAAATCGTTGCTGTAATATGGGGGAGGGTGTGGTGGTGGTTCGACCGTTTCGTTATTCCCGTTTTCACCCGCTGTCCTCTTTAAACCTCTTGATTCCGACCGATGTTTTCTTTTTGAAACTTATTCTTCACCCTTAACGAGTGACGAACGAACTGTGATGGGGAGTGTGGCGGAAGTGCATAGTAGGAGGAAGGAGAGGAGAGGAGAGAATGGAAGTGGTGGCTTGGCGTTCTGCGGGATGATGGTCACCGTATTTATATGCAATCTCGAGGCTTGTTCTCCCCTCCCTTTTTTTTGGAACGATAGCGGCGATTATTCGGAATGAAGGATGAATCAATCCGCTGGGAAGGGATAAAAAAAGAAGGGAGGATCTGCCCCGGGAAAGCGAATAATGCGGCAACCAGCATCCAATCGTCATCTTATGCTGTAATCGTTTTTTCTATGGCATTGTCAGGTTGGGGCGACTCACGCTTCTGCAAAATAGATAATGTGAATTGACTCTAATATATCTTAGGTTTCTTTTTGAAATTTGCCTTTCATAATCGGGCCCAAGGATCCTTCAATTGATTTGCTGAGCCCAGGATATATCTTCCAGAGCAGGGTTGTAGACCGCGAAATTACTTCGTAATTCAAATCGCAGCCACCAGGAGAAGTGCGTAGGGAGTATGATCCATACGCAATACTCAGTTTTGAAGTCAACGAGAGGGAATGAATGAAGAACAACAAAGCTACTTCCCGCCTAATATTATTATACGATGCTGTACAGAGATACAAAGGGTTCACAATTACAACTGCTCCAGTCCAACGAATACTCCCTCTAAAAGCGCAGCATCAACCTCCCTAGCGGCACCATCAGTATCTATAGCCCCCTTAACCACTTTGGCTAACGCTAGCAACTTCTTCTTCCGAATCTTCTCCTCCAACTCCGCAGACTTTGTCCTTGCTACATCCAGCACCGAAGTTGGTACATGAGCTAACCGGGCCACATTCAGGCCGTAAGAGCGGTGCGCCACTCCCTCCCCAACCTCATACAGGAAGGTAATATCCCGCCCATCCATCCCAGACTCAGTGAATTTCATATGCACATTACGTAGCTCACCCTTGGGAAACTCTCGCGCCAGACTACTCAGGTTCTGATAATGCGTGATAAACAACGTGAGACTCCGCAGGTTTCGCACCATGTAATCGAGCACGGCCTGGGCGATGGCCACGCCGTCGTGCGTCGACGTGCCGCGGCCCAGCTCGTCGAGGATAACAAGCGAACGCGGTGTGGCTTGTTTGAGGATGTCGGCCGTTTCAGATAGTTCGACCATAAATGTCGACTCGCCCGCGAGCATGTTGTCGAAGGCGCCCATGCGCGTGTAGACGGCGTCGAGCATACCGAGCGTCGCGGACTCAGCGGGCACGTACGAGCCAATCTGGCCCATGATGCAGATCAAAGCTACCTGGCGCACGTAGCTGGATTTTCCGCCCATGTTGGGACCCGTTACTAAAAGGGCACGGGTCTTGTTGGTATGCAGCTCTATATCGTTTGGCACGTAACTGTCCAGCAGAAGCTGCTCGACCATAGGGTGGCGGCCGCGTTGGACACTGATGCGGGTTTCATCTGTATAAGTTGGTTTGACGTAACCAGGCTGGCTGGCGATGTTGGCTAGTGAGAGCAGACAGTCCAGCGTTGCGAGGGCTACGATACAATCACGGAATGATTGGTATTTCGTTGAGATGTCAGCAAGTAGCGCATGGAATGCCTTGTCGCAGGCGGCAGCCAGGGCCTCCTTGTACTGGTCGCGTTCGCGCATGTACTGGACCACTTCAGGCGTGTGGAAGCGGGAGACTTTCTTTGTGCCACTGATCTTCCGCCATGAGGCCGGTACCTTTTTAAGGTTATAAGGACTATTCTCTACCTCGATGAGGTATTCAATCCCTGCCACAGTCGTGTACTGCACTTTTTTCTTTCCTAAGATCTCTGCTGCAACCGCACAGTGTTCCTTGAGCCTATGCTGCACATCAGCGATCCCAAGATTGGATTCCGTAATTTCATCTGTCTCCTCTGCCTCTCGGAAAAAGCAATATTTGTCATCCTTTTTGGCGGCCTGCGCGTTTATCTTGTTAAGGTATGTAACAACATCTTTGCGTATAGCCGGCAGAGCTGCAATGGCTCTGTTGATCGTTGGAGACGAAAAACCTAAATCCTCTGGAGACTTGAGATGGACATACTCGTCTGCAATCAACTGCAGGGTTTGCAAGACTGTCAGGAGCTCGGGTCGCGTGCACTATAGATATTCAGTCAGAGGTTTGAAATTCGCTAAAAAGAAATGTAGAGAACGCGGTAGACCTCACCCTTCCATAGTATATCCGTATCAAACTTTTCTCTAGATCCGCCTTTATCTTTGACAAGAGGCCTTTCAACCTCTCAATCTGCACTGTCTTGCTGGGGTCTTGCAATTCCTCAACGGCAGCAACCCGCTCTTCCAGTTCACTTTTATCAAGCAAAGGCCTTCCAACCCACTTCCGTAGTAGACGTTGTCCAAATCGTGTTTTGGTGCGATCGAGGGTCCAGAAGAGGCTTCCCTTCGACGTATGCTCTGTTTGATTTTGATATATTTCCAAGTTGGTTAGGGTATTGCCGTTCAGCAGCATGTGGGATCGCGCCGAAAACGGCTGGAAGTACTTGGTGAGGTCAAATATATATTCCAGCCCGTATTCAGACATGTGCTTGATCATGGAGGAAAGACATATGGTGACATCCTCCGGCAGTTTCAGAACCTTTTCCAGCAGATTGTTTGCTGCAGCATCCCCTACGGCGCCCTTTGCTTTCATCCGGCCCGCATAGAAACTAGATACGTGGCTGTGTGATTCTGCCGCAGCAATTTTCGACTTCGAAACCCGTTCAACCCGCACCTTATCGCCAAAAACATTTGTTTTGCTCCCCGAGAGATGTTGCACAAGCTTCTCCGTAGCTTTCGACATCTCGCCCACAATCAGAAATTCACACGGGGCAATGTGGAGCAGCCTCGTTTCAATTTCACTTCTCATAAACCCATCCTCAAAATCGTCATAAATAACATCTCCAGTGGCTGGCTGGACAGCCACAATTCCGACATGGACCTTCTCGTCATTACCACAACCCTTGGCGTTGCTTTCGGTCATACAAAGCAAATAGCCTGTGGAAGTAGACGCGCTGCCTGAGCTGACACTGGGTCCCTCAAGTCCCTCGACATCGTCGATGTAGGTTCCCTTCGTGTATAGGTTCGTAAGCTTACGAACAAAAGGAGCGTTTCTATTGTCACCGGCAGCTTTCAATGCAGCAGTCTCAAGCTGCCTAACTACGCCGACTTTATAGCCCGCTGCGACCAACCGCTTCACATGAACATGCAATCTATGCACGGGAATACTAGCAGAGGCAAAGCGGGACAGATGAGCTTCGGATGGGTCTACCAGAACAGTGAAATTCCATATATTAGCATTTGGTATTTCGCAGCAGAAGAACATATAAACCAGTCACAAAACAAAATAGGGCCATGAACTCACGTTCATCAAATCTGAGTTTCCCAGGGATGCACACAATACTTAACTCCTTCGCTGCAATACGCGCGTCCTCACCAAAAAAGCGAAATTTATAGCCAACCTCCACAACAAGCACGGTATCCATATGGTTCTTCTTAATGTCAATGATCTGCCTTTCCATCGGCGTCAATTTCCCCGTCGTAGTCCTCTTTCCTGCTCCTCTCACCTTCTGCGGAGCCGGCGCAACGTCCTCCTCAGCCTCAGCATCACTCTCGGCACCCTCCAGATCGTCCGCATCGCCCGCGCCGAATCCACTCGTTAAAGGCGGAAGACAATCCGGCCCGCCCAACCTCTTCACGAACTTCTGATGCAGAGCTTGTTTTCTCTTTCTTTCCCTCTCGTCGTCCTCAGATGCATCGCCACCATTCCCATCGGCCCTCTGATCACTCGACGTAGGTGTAGCGGAGCTATTGAACCGAAATCGTTCCGTCCGCGCGGATCCAGTGTTCTTTTCCTTCTTCGCCGTCGGCAGCTTCATAACCCCATCAGAATCGAACTCATCTACGACTCCCATGTCCATACCAGTATCTGTCTCTTTAACGTCACGTCGCTGATCCGCATCTGCTGGTGCCCCCCTGTGCACGGTCGAAACATCCCCGTTACTCCTAATACGTTTCCTAGATGGAACAATAATCTCATCATCCTCTTCTTCCTCTTTTTCCATCCCTCCAGCCCCATAGCCCCCATTCACCACCTCATTTACCTCGCTGTCCGGCGTTTGCCGAACCCGAGCCTCTCCAAGCTTCTTCCCGGCTCCATTCTTCGGAGTAGCATTCGTAGAACCATTCACGGGTACGGGTTTCTTGGCAAAGAAGCTAGATATAGATTGTTGTTTGCGTTTGAGTTGCGAGGAGGATTGGGAGGAGGACATCGTGCTAGGATTGGGGGTTGGAGATTATGCACGCGGGCGCGGTCACTCTGTCGTAGTGCACTTTAACGAGGCATAGGCATGGTACAGTACATCCCAAAAGTGAGAATAATCATGAAAAGCTGTAATTCCGACTCGGGCACGGCTCATCCAAACTCAAGTTAATCAGTTATATAGAGGCATGAAAAGAGTTGGGGGCCCTGATAGGATAAACCCCCAGTTTCAGAGGCGTTATATGCTGTTTCGGGGACGGGAGGGGAGGGGCAATGAGCAGATCCAAACATATATAAACAACAAAAAATGCCTGTTTATTCAAAGGGCCGATGAATATTTGCCTCCAAAAGAAAGGGACAAGTGGAAGAGAGGTAGATCGAAACTGTTTCACCCTTGGGACAAATTCAATTAAGAGAGGCGCGTTTGACGCGACGTTCATTGAGGCTTATGTAATCCTCTAACTACTCACGAAGGTTCCTGGGGCGCAGGAAGCAGAAAACTTGACCTTGTGTATACAGAAAACTTGACCTCGCTAA